TGGATGAATAGTGGGGCTTCGAGGACCCGCCCAGTAGGGCATCCTTCCACTGGTTCGAGGCAACAACATGCCTCGTCATTCTTCCTACTCATTTACAAATTCAAAACTGTATCAGATTTGCACATCTCTCTCTTTCTCTCTCTCTCTCACACATACACCCTAAGAACAAAGAGTGATTTTCTGAGACAACACAGAACAGGTTCATGCTGAAGAAGAGAGCGCGCCCTCGTAAATTAAGTAATCTTCCCACAGCCCCTCTTTCAGCAAGAAGATGGCACTTGTCATTATTGAAGTGCATTCCAACTACTGCTCTCATGTTCGTCCTCCAGTTTCCCAAACACAGATCGGGGCCTGTGGATAAGGAACAAAAATCCATTGCTTCAAACAACAGTTATCTGTCCTTGCTTGCCAAATTATGGCTACCAAAAGGCCCAGGAAAAACTCTGGAGTTACAGCTTTTCCATAACTTAAGTCTAGATAAATATTCTAGATAGTGGGTTCTCATGGGGGTCAGTAGGAGAGCATATCAGCATCTAACCACAAGAATGCAGGGGATTTGTAGGGGCAGAGGCTTATGGAGTGAGCATTTGGAACTACCTGTCTCCACTTTACCACTGGGATCTTTGCTCAGTGTTTTCTAAGACTCCATCCCTAATCTTAATGTGTACTCTCATTCTCCTTTTAGGACATGTCGCCATTTCTCCCTTTGCTTCCATTCTAATTGCACCACCCTCATTCAAGGTTCCTGGACTGTAAACTTGGGCCTTAAAACTAAAAGGAACCAATCAGGGGCGCCTGAGTGGCTCAGTTGGTTAAGCAAATGCCTTTGGCTCAGGTCATGAACTCAGAGTCCTGGGATGGAGTCCCATGCTCCTCGCTCAACGGGGAGCCTGCTTCTAACCTCTCCTCTCCACTTGTACTCTCTCTTGCTATCTCTGCCTCTCTCTCTCTCAAATAAATAAAATCTTAAAAAAAAAAAATAAAAGGAACCAATTAGAAAAAGCCTTGAAAGAGAAATAAAACCCAATCCAATGTGATTAAGAATGATACACATTAATTCTATCAGGAAAAAATATGAAAATAATTTAAAGTAGAACAATACAGGAATAGATTAGCTGAAACCAATCAAATGGACCAAACGTAAACTCCCATATATGAAGAGAAGGATGAAGTTAACAGACAACTTGAATCTGGAGGACTGAGGCTCACTGACAGCCAAAGATGTTAAGACAAATTTTAAGGGCATCTGTAGTTCCAGAGCTCAGATGTTCCAGAGGATATCTCTGGTTAATATTCAGCTTCAGCTAATTTAAAATGTAATGTACAGAAGTGCTTATAATGTTAACCCCAAAACTATTTGGATGACATAATTGTTTCCAAGAGAATTAGTAGCTTTAAACTTGGAGAATTTTGTGTGTGTGTGTGTGTGTGTGTGTGTGTGTGTGTGTTTACATATATGCTTAAGTAAATCAAACCTATAAGTCAAGTAAGTCAAACCTATTTCTTAGTAAAGTTTAGAAATAATCGAGAAAATCTGACCCGTTACAAAACATGTCATGCTTGTGATTCCAAATTAAATTGATGGAGCTAGAAAACTGATTTATAGCAAAGATTTTATGCTGAAATCCATCAGTTTTTTTTTTTTCCTTGCGAGCATTATTTTATTATTTTCTAGGTGAGAGAAGAGCAGTATGTAGTCTATGGCTAATCATTCTCCATTTCTTTTTTTTTTCTTTTTTTTTATTAATAAATTTTATTTTTTAAAACATATATTTTTATCCCCAGGGGTACAGGTCTGTGAATCGCCAGGTTTACACATTTCACAGCACTCACCATAGCACATACCCTCCCCAATGTCCATAACACCACCCCCCCTCTCCCAATCCCCCTCCCCCCATCAACCCTCAGTTTGTTTTGTGAGATTAAGAGTCACTTATGGTTTGTCTCCCTCCCAATCCCATCTTGTTTCATGAAATCCATCAGTTTTAGAAAATTTAAGAAAACCCAAGAGTTATTTTTATAGGTTACATTTATCCTATTAAAATAGTTACTTAAATACTGGAAAGGCTCTCACAACTGACTAAGTGACTTAGAAAGAAAATAAAATTCAATTTCATTAAGTGTAGTATAAAATGTGTAAGTGAGCTTTAGTTTATGAATGGAATCAAACATTAATCAACCGCATGCCTAAAATTCCAAAAATGTGCCAGATTTTTAAATAAAATAAAATGATCAAATTAAATTTTAAGCTCAAGGAAGGACTATATTTTTAACATATATATTTGGTACATTAAGTATTGATTTAAAAAAAAGTTTTTAAAAAATTTTTTAAAATTTAAAAAAATAAACATAGTCTTTTCAGGATCCAAAGCCATCGTCAAGAATCCAGAAAACTCCTATTGATGAGAGGACCACCATGGCTTCCTAACATGGTGTGGGTCTTTCCCCTCAAAGTACAGTCTGCATACAGCTAACAGACTGAAGTTCCCAAAATGACACTAGGTAATGTGTCTCTTCAGAAACCTCTAATTCTTTTATCTTTCCCTTTTCTGTTTAAACACAGAAAAAAACTGAAACAGAACATCTACGTTTCTACTCTATGCATTGCTTTGTCTCTTTTTCACCTCTACGATTCTATTTGTTTTTAACCAGGATGTCACCGTAATAACTAAGTTATTACCTCATTAAATTAATTTCCCTCTCTTCTACTGTACTCAATTCAATATTATTTCCAATTATCATTTAGTAAATTTTCTGTTAAGCCCCAGCAATTAAAAACCTGTTTCATCAAGACTGTTTCTTAAAATAAAGCAAGTTCTTTTTCTTCTTTCTTATAAGTACTTAAAAACACAATTTGAACAAAACATAGTTTCATTATGATGTCCATCAAGAACTGCAGGATTTTAATAATGCAACCTTGAGAATGATTTCTGAGATTTAATCGTAAGTGTAGCAGAGAATGTTAGCTGCCTACCCTCAACACCATTCTCTCCTTCCTCATTGGTAACAGAATGCCGAGTTTTTTCCAGGTGCATTGCCAACTGAATAAAAAACTAAATTTCAGCCTCCTGTTCAGTTGTGGCCATGTGACTAAGTTCTAGCCAATAAGATATGAGCATAACTTCCATGTAAGATTTCAGTAACAGATGCTTAAAGCATGCTCGGGTCCCTTTGTATCCTTATTCTATTCCTCATTTTTCAAGGTGGATATTATGGCTGGCACAACAGAAGCTACCCAGGACCCTGAGATGACCTTGAGGATGGAAACCACTTGTTAGCATGGCAGAACAGAAAGGGAGGATGCCAGATATCTGATGACAGTAGATAGCCTATCATCAGAACTCTTTTATATGACAAGAAATAAACTTCAACCTCGGGATGCCTCGGTGGGGGTCAGGGGTTTAAAGCCTCTGCCTTCAACTCAGGTCATAATCCCAGAGTCCTGGGATTGAGCCCCACATCAGGCTCTCTGCTCAGCAGGGAGGCTGCTTCCCTCTCTCCCTCTCTGCCTGCCTCTCTGCCTTCTTGTGATATCTGTCTGTTAAATAAATAAATAAAATCTTAAAAAAAAAAAAGGAAGTAAACTTCAACTTTGTATAAACCACTGCTATTTTGGGGTTTTCTATTAGGTGCAATTAAACCTTTTTCTAAATGACATATAGAGGTACATTTTTTAACATGTTAATAAATACTAATGAGCATTCTAAATACTAATGAGCATTCTTGCAACAAGTCTCTTGAAATCAATAAGTAGCATTAAAAGATTAAATGAAACACTTCCATTAATTAAACAAATACTCAAATATAACATTCACATAGCATCTTTCAAAGAAAGTAGCAAAGGTGATCTCCCCTCTTCAAATGTCAGAAATTGATTCAATAAGAAATCGACTCGATATCTAAAAAGTTCAAATATAGCCTTTATCTATGTCTATAACTATACAGAGAAGTTTATCTATTTTTTCAGGTAAACATGTCCTTTACTCTCTATAGTCCCGTAAATATTACTAAAAATGTCTCATGATATATTCAAGCTTTTCTTTAAAAAAAAAAAATTACCTTTTCCTCTGCTAATTGAACAGATCTTTGGCTTCTCCAAAATTGGTATCTCTGCTTCTAATTCATGCCCCACATTCTGTTATCACAAGAATCTTTTCGAAACACTAGTCTATCGTGTCCCCAAGTCTGTGCTGCCTCCCCTTCACTTTATGCATGCGTTCCATCACCTTTGCGGGTTTGCACAGTGCCCCCTCATTTGGTTCCTGTACTTAGTCAAATTTATTTCTCAGTATTTCCCAAACTATAAGTTTCCCTTTGCCTCCTGCACTCTCATTATAAATCAAGAACCAGTGAGAAGCCAAGAGGAGCCAGAGGTAGGAACAAGATTAAGCCAGTGGGCATTGGGACCCTGCTGATCTTGACCGTAATGGTAGATACATGGGCGTATACATTTGTCACACTCACCACCTTGTACTTTAAATGGCTGCATTTGATTTTATATAAGTGAATTTTCTATAAAGTTGATGGGGAGAAAAGTTAAGTAGGAGTCAGTAATCTTGTCAACTGAAAACCAAGGGGCTATGCAGGCAGCAGATTGAAGCAGCCCCAGGTAGAGGGTACCTGGCTTCTGAGAGCATGAGAGCCAGGGGGAGACAGAACAGCATGGATGCTGGAGGAGGAAAGAGGTTCCAATGTAGCAGGCTGAGGTCAGTTTTCAGAGTAAAACCAAATGAGGGGGGAAAAAAGAAAAGAAAAGACAGTATAGGCAGGGAAGGGGAGCCCACATTTGAAGTCTGGCATACGCAAGCCCACCTATACAAAATGTCCGAGCATCTGCTCTCCTACTCGCCCCTAGTTCGCTGTGCTCCTATCTCCAGTCTCCAGTGTCCCACAAACCTTGAATCTGCAGAGAGCTTACCTTCTTTGTATCTTTTCTTCACAGTGTTCCCCCATTTTTTCTTCGGGGAATTACTAAAATGTAATCCTGAATTGGTTTGCTTTCTCCATTTAGTGGATTTCCTCAGAGTTCAATGTTGGCAAGAAACTACAGTAATAAATAATTCCTCTTTCCAGCAGATGTTGTTTCTGGTTTTTCGGATCAGAGGGAAAAAAAAAAAAAAACCCACTGTGATTTTCCAATAAATCTGCTAAACACTGCAATGAATTATGAACTTGCGCAGAGGCTATATCATCCAAGAGGCCAAAATGCAAGTGGCAAATATTTCATATTTGAAAGTTATGGCTTATTTCAATCCATCAGGAAACTATTTTTGGGGGGCTTGGCATTCTTTCTCAATTAAAAGTCATGGAATTATAAAATTATATTGGTAATGATAATTATTCATCTCATTTACTGTTATACACAAATTCTAATGAAAATTCTGAGATTTTCATCTCTTTCAATACATTTTTCCACAGTACTGCCATCTTTCCTTCCTGAAACAGCATCTAATTAACATGGCAAGAAAAAAAAGTGAGATTTCCTTGGATGTTTCTTTTTGTTTCCAATATTGGATTTCTGGGCAACACCAAAGAAATGAATTATAATACAATTTATTTTCTTCACTGGCTATCTTTTCCATATAACAAATATTATACAGTTTTCAAGATAAAAGCCATAGCATCCAGTAGAAACACAATTTTTGTACATCTTTAGATCTATGACAAAAACACATATAAACAAATTTAAAGAGTTCTAGATATAATGTGAAAGCCTAGAAATACTTTGTAGTATGATCACTATATGTAGGTGTAGACTATCTTTCCTTAGAGTGTGCTATATAGTTCTGATTTTATATTTATTTACATCATTATTTGATCAATGTCATGAGTTCTGGAAGGGCCTGGAACCTATTTGTTTTAACTCAATCTCCAATACCCAGCTCAGTGTCTAGAACCTGGTGGGCACTCAATAAATTGTATTGCATGCATGGAGAAAAGGTATCTCAAGTTATATAAAACAACCATACCAAGGGGCAAGAGGAAACTTTTGGAAGTGATAGATACATGTTCATTATCTTAAATGTGGTGATGGCTTCATAGGGGATACCTATGTCCAAACTTCTCAAATTTAAATTTAAGCAGATGAAGTTTATTGTATGTCAATTATATCTCAATAAAGCTGCTTTTTAAAATCTCAAAATCCGTGACAATACCATGCTAAATGTATTACCTATAAAGTTCACAGAATATATTACAATAATATTTTACAGAGGATCAGTACTACTAGAATGTTGTTTGTTAATTTGAGGGGGGCGGGGAATTGTACTTCTGATTAGGTACTAATTTACAATTCCTGGCTATGATAGGAAAGAATCGTTTAAAGTAAAAATCTTACCATTTAATTAGTCTCTTATCAGTTTGAGCTAAGAGGTATGAATTTTAGATCTCAACCCTAAGACTGTTTTCCCTTAACTGTTCATTTACTTTCTGAGTAAAATATTCAGTAACTTTTTTCCTAAAAGATTGTCTGTGAACTGAATGCTATTTTAAATAGACTGGACGATAGTTTTTAAATTTTCTATTAAAAGTCCTTTCATATGGGGCACCTGGGTGTCTCAGTGGGTTAAGCCTCTGCCTTCTCAGGTCATGATCTCAGGGTCCTGGGACCGAGCCCCACATGGGGCTCTCTGCTCAGCAGCAAGCCTGCTTCCCACCCTCCCTCCACCTGCCTCTCTGCCTACTTGTGATCTCTGTCAAATAAATAAATAAAATATTTAAAAAAATGTTTTAAAAGTCCTTTCATATAATACAAATCCACATTTTAAAATTCTAGTTTCATTTAAACAAGAGTAAAGTATTTTCAATTACAGTGAAGAAAATATCATTGTACTTTTTTGTTGGAGATTCCAAGTATATGAAGACGATAATAATGTTTAAAAACATTATAATTTTGAATTAAAACCTTGCTAAGGTGTTGGAATAGAAAATGATGATACAGTCATGAGAAATGAATCATAGGCATGAGAGAAAGTATTGATTTTATCATTGAGTAAGAGTAAGTGCCTGAATTATTCAATGACAATGGATTTAGAGCTTTTAGTTGAAATTGGTTTGTTTTTAAAATTTTATCACTTAATTTTGACAAAAGCCAATATGATATTCATAAGATTTTTCTGATCTCAAGTACTTCATGACAAATATGCTCTAAATTATTTCATGTAAATAATTCTGACAAAGTAATACATTCCAGTATACATGTTGATGAAGGGCATAACTTGTTATCATTTCAAATAGAATGCTACCTATTCCGCTACTGATGTCCACTGTCCAATCTTAGGGAACCAGATCATTCGCAGTACACACAATTTTCAATTCATTCATTCATTCTACAAATATGTATTGATACTGTGCCATACGACAGACACTAATTGGAATTGAGACAAATGTAGCAAGACCTATTTCTCATAAACATGTAAACAAGCAAATAAGAAAACTTCAGATAGAGATAAGTGCTAGGAGAAGGATGGAATAAGACAAGTTGGTGGGGGCCAGCACTCCGGGAAACGGGGCAATCTAAGTTGGGGTTGGGTATGGGATAATCCGAGCCCAGTGACCAAATGAGGGGGCAGAAGATGAATCTGAGAGAAAGGCAAGGAGAAAAATCATAAAGGGTATGAGTTTCATTCCCAGTGCTATAGGAAGCCACTGAAGAGTCTTGAGAAATAAACGAATTTGTGTTTGAAAATAATAACCATGGCTTCCTAGAATTTGAATGGGTGACAAAAATAAAAGCAGACAGATCCGTGAGGAGGTTATTATAGGTGAGAGATCATGGTATACAAGAGTGGCAAAGATGAAGGGAAGTGGATAGAATTAAGATATATTTTGGAAACAGAGCCTAAAGAATTTTCTGGTTTGTTGGAGGGATGTGCATGTAAGGGATGGTGACAGAAAGAGAGCAATTAAGATGGGAAGACTTGGGAAATACGCCTTACAAATCTAATAATATAATATGTTAACCCTACTCTATCTGCTGAATCAGTGTAATACCATCTATGCACCAAAGGTAATAAGCATCTTTTCTTACAATAACCAGGTAGCTTTGCAATTTGATAGAATGTTATGTCATATTTTAACCTCAATTTTCAACTAAAATTGTAATTATCGATAATTTAACATTAATGTATCCAGTTATTCTGTGCATCTACAGAAGAATTTAGAGTATAGTGGCCAGCACTATTCAGCATCTGTAATTTATGGGAGTATGGAAATAGGTTTTCCACACCTCAGTCCTAACTGGATGCCCGGTTCTCAGGCATGAGAACACCTTCAGGCCACAAGTTCACAAAGCATTTTTGGCTGTAATATAAATCAGCAAATCAGCATTCCTCTCTCACATACATGACTATGAGTTCCTCCCAAAGGAGACCAAAGTCTTAATCCTTGGTGGCCCCAAACAACAACCAACTCAGGCAACATCAGGTAAGTGAAAACCCACCAAGGTAGGAATATCCTCTAACATCTCTTTTTGAATTTCTGGACTTGGTAATTTTTTGGCTGACAATGGCAAAGACATATTTTTAACATCTTTATTTAGCTCTAATTCACATAGCATATAAGTCACCCGTTTAAAGTGTACATATTTCCAAGGAGAAGCTGTGTCATAGTCAAACTGATCTCTCTGATTCCTCCCAAGGATATAGGTTTTTCGATCATTGTTTCCCTTAAACATTCACTAAACAATCACTGTTGAGTATTTACTATATGCTAAGCATTCCTACCTGAAATAATGTCTGTGTTTCATTTCTACAGCCTTAACCCTGACTTGAAGACCCAGTTCAATCATGTTGATCACCTCAGCTCTTGAACTCTCTCCTTTTGTCAATGTCTGTGGGCTACTGGACATTAAGTATCAGCCACTTTGTTACATAACATTGCTGGTTACATTTGTTACATTGCTCTCACGGGATTTAGGTGTCTTTGTCACCTAGCACTCTGGCTTGGCACCTCACACATTTTATGCATTAAATGTATATCTTGTGGAGGATGATAAAACCTGGTCCTTGGAGAAGATGTCCTTGAATAACCCTCTTCCTTCTAAATCTACCAGTAGTGTAGTCATAGGACCTGAAAGCTTTGAAATGATCTTGCTGACATCTGAATGGTACTACAGATTTTGTGACAAGGTCATGGTGCTGGAACCAGAGTCCCGTGCCAGGGACTGGCACACTGCACTTTGCTCACCAAAGGAAGATGAAATTATCTGAGATGGCTTTGAAATCAAGCCGATGTAGATTAGTGCAATATTCTTTGTCAATCAGGTTTCTGACCTCATAAAAATGTGTGTGATTTCTAGCAATCAGGAATGAGTGGTTTTTCAGAAATGAGTTTGTTGGGATACTCTTACCATTATAGATATAGTGATAGAATAATCTGGGAGTCAACACACAGCAAGATACAGTCTATATCATGCAATGATCTTCTCTGTATGAAAGGTAGTTGTCATTTCCTGTACGAGTGGCCTATGTTGTCATTTTCACTGATGGGTTGTTAATGGGACACACAAACACAGAGAAACATATAAACTGGATTGCTGTCTGGAAAACAGAGGTAATCTCTGGAACTCCCTTCAGTTAATTATTATTTGTAAATAAGCAGAACTGAGCTTCATTAGAGGGCTTGTTAGGAATTACAAAGGTAACTGTTCATAAATCGAATACTGGCATGCTGCTCTGCACTGGTTTTGAATAAAAACTGGCACGGGCTTTGCATAAAATTACACCTAAAATGTTAGTCATAAAAGCTCAGCATTATCTCTAGTTTCTGTTCACTAACTTTTAAAGCTGTTTTTCTGTTGTTGTTGTTATTGTTGTCGTTGTTTACTGTCTCCAAGTTGTACTTACCCTTTTAATTTTGTTCCAGACTCATATTTATCAAGTCAGAGGACGCCTGCTTTATACAGGAGGTCCTGGACCTGGAAGAAATAAAAATGGCCAGTGACAACTTCCATTTCTTGTTTTTTTTTATAAGAACATAACGTACAAATCATGACCATCACTAGAACACAGTTATCTTGAGCCCTGCTCTACCCTTGCTGATGTTCCATGAATCCTGGAAATACATTTTCTTTGTTCTAATCCCAGCCTCTGACTCAGAGCCAAGTGGAGTGGGCTCTTCATAAATATGCATTGATCGCCTGGCAAGAATATTCCTGTAGGGCAGGGCCCTGATTAGCAAATGTTACCTGCAGGAGGCAAAGGAAATACCACAAATGGAGATAAGATGCTACTAGTAGATTTCACTTTTTCTTGAGGTTTGGGAATAATCACTTATCTCTGTGGTCAAGCCTCCTCAGATCTCTCCCTGCAGGATCTGAAAGCAGCTCACGTGAAAGGCCTCCATGTAAAGTCTCTCTTCCACTGCGAGCTGGACCAAGAGCACAAGATGAGGGAAGAAGCAATTTGCTTCTAACTTAATTTATTCCTTTCTTACCATTTCAGCAGCTCACCAGAATGTACATAAAACCTCACATCCTAACTCGATGATAAGATCAGCAAATATATATATACCTCTACCATAGTGGTCTCCATTCTTGTTACCATAGACCTCGGTATAAAAAATAAGAGGTAATGAGGTTGTGACGATCTCTAGGATACGAAGGAAATTAAAATCTCGTCTATATTTATGGATTTTTATATTAGGACATTTCCTAATATATTTCAGGTAAAACTACTTCACCCAACTTCCTGCAGGTTTGAGTAAAAGCAAAAACCCGAAACAAACCAAACCAAAAGTGATTTTTGAACCACCTGGCCCAATAGTTAAATTTATTGCAATTCCCGAGCTTTGTTGGGCTACAGAGCACGCGCTGGCGGGACGCACCGGCCCACTCGCAGGGGTTCCAGACGCACCCAGGCACCAGCGGCAGGAGGAGCACTAGCTCCGGGGTAAGCCCGGCCTCAGAGCCTGTTGCTCCTGGGCCAGACAAGGGAGCAAGTGCAGCTCAGGCGGCGGGGGCTGGTGGCCGCCCGGAGAGGCTAGAATTCCACCCAGGCGGCAAACTCGCGCTTCCCTTCCATTGCCGGGGCTGGAACTTAACCCTTGGCGTCCCAACCCCTCTCGCCCTTCGCCGGCCCACTCAGCCCAACACTGCTTTCCAGACCGCGGGCAACTCCATTGTTATTACAAGCCAGAGGGTAGCGGGAAGGGACACGGGGAGATGCACGCGCCGAAGCACCCCTTCCCCTCTGGTCAACATTTAGGAGAGTCAGAGTGGTGTTGACGAAGGACAAGCCAAGCCGCAGCTGCGAGGCGGAGCGAGGGCGCCCAGCCGGGAAGAGGAGGCTGGGAGCTGCCCACCCTACCCCCTCAGGAATGGTACGGCCCAGAGCGGGGCGGGGAAGAGGAGGTTCTCCCGGGTCTCTCCCCGCTCCTCTCCCGACTCCGCCGCCCGGCTGCCGCGGGAGCGAGTAAGCGCGCGCCCCGGCGACCCCTCCCCCGGCGCCGGCACCCCAGCTCCTCCCCTCGCCCAGCGGCCCCCTCCGCGGCTGCTTGGGAAGCTCGCCTAGCTCTGCGGACGCTGCCACCTTCGTAGCCTCTTCCTCCTGCCCCGGCGCGCGGGGGCCGTCCAGCGGCGGCGCTGCCCTTGGTGGGCGACGGGGCCCGCTCGGCGGCTGAGCACTCGGCGCGGCGCAGCCAGGTCTCCAGCCTGCGCGGCGCCGTGACAGGTGCAGAGTCCCGGCTGAGGCTCCACCTGCGGCGGTCGCCGCGATGCCCACCATGCGGAGGACAGTGTCGGAAATCCGCTCCCGCGCGGAGGGTGAGTGGCCGCCGCAGCGCGGGGCTGTGCGCGCAGCGCGCACGGGGGTGGCCCGGGGCCAGCTTGGGGTCGGGCCGTATGTGTATTAGGGAAAAGATGTGCCGTCCCACCTCTTCCCCTAGGTAAGTCTGGCGGTTGCGCCTGGTCCGCGGCAGACCCTTCTCTCTGCGTCGCCTCCAGCGCACTGGCAGACCCCTTTCCGGCTCTAGATCCCCGGATTTGATGTCCTCGGCCGGAGCCCCAAGGCTTGCTTTACACCGCAGCGTGACCATTCGGTTCCTGTCACCGAGCGCTCTCGTCCGGCCCACCGCCCTTCCCGCTGGCGCACAAGCCTCCGGGTCTCCGCTCGGCTTCTTCACCCTAGAGAACAGATCCCCAGCCCGCCTCCCCCGCCTCCAGCACCCACCTCTTTACAGCCCCCACACCAGGGCTCGCCGAGGAGCGGAGTATCTTTCCCAGATGCAGGAGCCTTTGATCCACAGCCCCTTGCCTCTTGGAGCGTGAGGAGCCTTAACTGGGGCTGGGTGCCCAGCGGGTTCTGTGCATTACAGTCTCTGCAGTGGAGTCTTACCCAGCTTCCATCGGAGATTTTGTTTTTGTTTTTGTTTTCCTTTTACCTGAGATCCTCACTTTGGCCAGCTGAGCTGACTTTTTAGCAAGGTGGAAGCTGTCTCCTTTGCTCCACCCGGGGCCAGCTGTTGAATGGCTACACCTGTCAGCGCTGAGCAACAGATGTCCGAGGGTATAGTAAGTAAGCTTTGGGAGGGCCGAGGCACCCTCTTCGGCTTCTCTGAGAAGCCCTTGGCATTCTTGCTGGCAAGTGATGGTCACTCGGAAATTATTTCTTGATGTTGCTTATGGCAAAGCCAAGATTGTATATATCTAGATATTTGTTTTCTTGTTTTGCTGTCCCACAGACCAGCACTTGAATCCTGCAGAGTGGAATAACATGTTTTCGAGAAAATAGCCTATCTTGCCATCATCCCTGGTCTGCGCCCTCCCCCCACCCCATCCTTTAATGTGAGGCAGGTGGGAAAGTGGTTTTAGTAAAAAGATAGAGCAGTTAGGAGAATAGAACTCCCGGGCTTGCGACAGGCCATTTTATTGTTTTTCCTCCTTAGAGTCTTGATGTAAAAATACGGGGGCATTGAGTTCTAATATCTATGGTTTACTGATTACAGCAACTAAATGAAACTGCTATGAGTAGGTGTCTCCACAAGTCACAACTGACCTGTGGCCTACACAGGAATTCAGTACATATTTCTTCTTTGTACTGTAATGAAAAAAGTATATAAGACATTACAGTTTTAGGTAAAAGGTGAATAAATGATAGTGTTATTTTTGAAATGTACACAGTAAACAATTCATTCTGTTTTGTTTTATAACTCTTAGTGAAATGGATAGACTGTTTCTAATCAATACCTAAGTAAGCCATACGGGTGATGAAAATATAGTAGTAATAATTGGAATTGTTTTTTCAAATAGCAGTCATTGATGAATCCTATATTGTGAGAAATGAGGAAGAGAGAAAAGACCAGAAAACAATGCAAAACCTGTGACACAGGAGAGGACTTTTTTAGTATTAAAAGGCTACGGTATTGTTTTTGATTGTCCCATGTATTTTTCAAAACATTTTCTGAAAGCCTGACTTATGGAATCTTACCACACTCCTGCAGATAAGTGAAGGTGGTCTCATCTAATCGTTGAAGGAACTGTGGCCCAGGTGGTTGAGGTACTTGCCCAAGGTCAAGTAGCTAGTTCAGTGACACGTTTTGGATGTAGTGCTCTGGCAAAATAAGGACTGTTTTTATTTAATCTTTGTATTCTCTGTGCATCCAGCACAGTGTCAGGGCCATAGTGGAGCTTGGTGAATGACCCTTGCCTCCCATATTGGTTAATTTCAGTTTATTATGTGCTCAGTATTTTGCTCAGGACTACGGTGAAGACAACATAAATAATGACTTTGTGAGCTGGAGATATGGCTCACTGCCCACCCTGCCCACACTTTTTTTTCTGAAGAAATATTCTCCTTGGACAGCTCCTGCTGCCTAAAGGGCCTTTTTCTGAACTGCAACCCCTTTGGCTCGGCTGATGAGGGAGTAGGCTGGGCTCATGACTCAGGGGCAGACACTCCATAGTGGCACAGACACTTGTAACCTTGTGGTTTGGCTCAAAAAGCTTCTCTGTGGTGATCCTCTGTCTTGTGGAAAGAGTTAAGCTTAGAGTGGGAGGGTGAAAATTGAAGCAGAAAGGGGCAGAGGTGAGTAAGGTAGTAGAGAAGAGAGGAGCCGGCTCTAATGGGTCACGTGATTGCTGACATGAGGAAGCAGGAACTATGGTGAAGAGAGAAAAATAGGGGAGAGAATGCATTAGATGGAGAGAATGGGGCAGAGACACAGATGCTGAGAAGGGGTAGCCCGACCTTGGAAACCCTCCCTCCCTGAGTTTGCTAGTCCCTATTCCCAAGTACTGTTAGAATAAGCTCTTTTTTCCCTTGAAGTGACTTGAATGGGTTTCTCTTCCCTGCAGCCAAATTGGCCAAATGCGTGGCTGTCCTGTATGCAAGTTACTTACATCCAAATGGGGGCTAAAGAACTTACATGAAATAAAGGAATAAATAATCTAGGAGAGGATATTATTAATATAACATTGTGCTTGCTATGGGTGACATAGGTCCCATTGAGGTCAGGACATAGAGCATGAGGCCTGGTCAGGGAACACTTCACTGAGAAATTATTTGGGATGAATGCTTCCCAAACTTTAAGGTGCACACAATTTATCTGGGTATCTTGTTAGGTATAGATTCTAAATCAGTAGGTCTGGGGCTCAGCTAATGCTAGATGGCTCTGGTCTTCAGGTGTGAATAGCACACAATATCACACAATATCCAAAGGATATTGTCTTTTTTTCTCTCTTCTTCTTCTTCTTTTTTTTTTTTTTTTCAGTAGTTGGGAGGGTATTGAAGGTAAAGAGTAACCAATTGAAAAAAATGGTGAATGTTAACATGACTTATTTGAGAGATCTTAAGGAAATTGGCCAGGAGCAGAGGGAAACTTGGAAGGAGTAGAATATGAATTTGGATAGGTAGATTGCTGCTAGATTACAGGCCATTTCAAATGCCAAGATGAGTCATTTGGATATAGAATCAAGTATTTGAAGATCTTAGAGTTTGTCTAATCCATTTCTCATTCAAGCATGATGACAGTGCATAGTATCTAACAGGCCCAGTTAGGAGCCAAATCATCATAGGGGAATGACGTCCCCAAAGAAGTATCTTAGATACATTCTGGATGTTGGATGTTTTGGACAGCATGGCACTGTAGATAGACTCCGTCATTAAGGAAAAAAAAAGAAAAAGAAAAGTCTAGTAATGATAAAGGCCAGGAGTAGTTTTGGAGTGGAGCAGTGAAAATGGGAAGGGAGGAATCACAGATTATTTCTAAGTAAAATGTAAACTCGGGTGAGCAGTATCCCTTGAGCTCCTGTAAGTACTCTTCCTAGTACTTGGGATTCATCAGTGAATAGAATAGAAAAGGCCCAGCTCTGGAGGTCCTTACATTTTAGTGAGGCAAGAGACCAAACACAATACATTAACAAATACAGAATTTGTTATGTGGTAAGTACTATGGGAAATATAACAAGAAGGTAGTGCGTTAAGGTTGGTGGATGGATTCCAACTTTAAATAGATTGGTTAGGTTGGCCTTCACTGAAAAAAGACATGGAGGAAATGAAGGAGTTAGCCTTGTGAGGATCTAGGGAAAGAGTGTTCCAGGCAGAGGTAACAGTTACAGCAGAGATCCCCAAGCCAAGAGAGTCAGGAGGGTTAAAGGAAGAGTATAGGAGAGAATAGGAAAGGAGGTTACAAAGGTCATACCATAGGACATAGCAATATAGGACAGGAGACAAATGGATAAAATGAAAGGAGGTTCTCAAGGAGTAATTTTAAATTTTGATGTTTGTAAGATCTCAGGTATCTCATTAAAACTGTAATTTCCTGAGTTACTCATAAAGATTTTCTTCATTTAGGACTAGGAATCTACATTCTTAATGAACTTGTTAGGATGTTCTGGTATAGATGAAACAGATTTTGAGGAACTCTGCTTTAGTCTTAAAACTGATTGGGAAAAATCTATTAAAAGATAAGGAAATTGAGAAGGAGGGTCAATACAATAAGAAGTAGGAATTGTGGGATATCCAAAAGGACGTGTTTTGATGATACTTAAACTTGGAGGTTCGATGTGGGCAAAATCAAAGGGGAATCTTTAGTTCAGAAGTAATAGTTGAAACCCTGATAGTAGATGTATTTTCCAGAAAGCAAAACAGGATAAAGCAGAAAGCTAAGAATTCTGAATTTCTTCATTTTTACCCTGGCTGAATCAAATGGATCTCTCAGTACATTAGGAGTGCTAAAAAGAGGGACTGAAATTACGGTGGTTTACACACAGTTTTTTCACCCTAGTATGGAGGTAAGCAGTCTACGTCAGCAATGCTCAATTTATGAAGTCAGAAGGGACATTGTCTCTCTGCCTTTCCGCTTCAGCATCTTCCATGAAGTCATAAGATGGTTGCTGGACTTCCAGTCATCATGGAAAAGCTCCATATAGGGAAAGATAACACACACAAAAAAACCAAAACCAAAACCAAACCTAGAAAGATGAAAGACCAAAGGATTTTCCTGGAAGTACCACACAAAGACTCATCCTAATTTTACTTTGGCTTCCATCTGCAAGGGAAGCTGGGAAATGGAATTTTCTAGCTGGGCACATTACTCAATGTTTTATTACTTAGGGAAAAAGAAAGAATGGCTGGTGGATGGGCAGCTAACAGACACAATCGCCATCAGGTATTCAGATTGTTAAAGGCTCTTGCTTGCAATAAAGGAATGTTCTAGAACTTATAATTTACAAAATAGTAAGCATTAAATTGTTCAAAACTAAGGAAATGTACACATACATGTCCCAAAGTTTACATTTTCTTCTGCCTAATATTATAATGCTGAAATGTAAGACCTTCATTTGATTGTGTAAAATATGTGCTAAGTAATACATTTAGTTGTTTCAGGTATTGTTTTTCTAAACCAGTCTGTATAAATGACAACTTTAAAATGTTTGTAATTTTACAGAATGTTATGTTTTATTTACTTAAAAGATAACAAAAGGAGCATTCAGGTAGTTTCTGTAAGAACTGTTAAAGGGAAATAAGGGGGAGTTGGTTTCATTTGTCCAGGTAAAAGATGACTAAGATTATTTGTTCCTTTAACAAGCATGTTTTATTCACCGGCTGTGTGCCAGCTAATTTTGGTGACAGGACAGAAAGGTGTGAATGAAGGAGATCCCCAAGGAAATCTAGAGATGGGTTAGGGATTTATAACTGACATGGCATTGTGAGAGAGAGGGTTTATGAGCATAGTGATACTTTGTGTAATTAATATTTGAGAATCCCCAATACATGTCATTTCACTTAGTGTAATTCTGGAGATATGAAGTGTGGCAGAACCAAACTGTTTTAGCGTTTTCTAATCTATAGACTGTCATTCACGTTTTCATTGTATT